TCAATGCTTTACATGCTTGTGGGGTTTGTTCTTATATTTTAGAGTCTGAAATTAATGTAATTGAGTATTTCTAAGCAGTTTCTTCCTAACCCATGATGGTAAGAATGCGTTGGTAGGTATAATAGTTTTTATGATATATGATTACTTTAGGCATTTTAAAAGAACAATTTCACGTCTTTGAATTTAGGTCAACTGTCCACTTTTGTCTATAGCTGGGTTTAAATTGAATATACTTTGCAACTGCACCAGTACTTTTTGTATACAGCTCATTAATTGTTATTTGATATTTCATTGGAATGTTTACTAAAAGTAGGCTAGATAGTGATATATCCAAGGGTTTTGTCCCTTTGACCCCATCCACAGTGGTTATCGTCCCAAACTCTACAGCCTACAGCTAAAATTGTGACGTACAAATTGAGCTTACTGCAATGTTTAGAATCCTCAGAAAGCACTTTCACTTGTTGTTTGTCTACTTCTTTTAGATTGTCGTCAAAAAGAAAATAATTCATATATGTTTGTAAGATTTTCGTGTATGTTAGTATGCAAGAAAATTTCACATTGTTTAGATGTTGAATGTTGTGAAATGGGAACTTCTCAAAATAATGAATTTTCAGTTTATCAGGTAAGTTATGGGATTCCAATTTATGATAAAGGTGGATCATCAGACATATTTAGTTTCTGATCTGTGTTGTTGAATTGCTCTACTTTCGGGTTTCTGAATATTAACGTAAAAATCACAAACAAGAGACAATGTCAGGTTTTGCAGGGTGCCAACATATTTCCTGGTCACAAAATGTTTACGCATTTTTCAGTTCGTATTGTGGTGCATTCAGAGATTCAGAGATTTATAAAATTCAGAGATATTTTGGGAGGGCTCAGCCTCTTCCCTTTACAAGTTCATATTTAGTTGGACGAATTCTCTTTTGGCATCCCTTTATCATACTGTAGATTCCTTATGAATAAGCAGTTTCTTATCAAGCTTTTTGTGTCATCGAATATTTTGATGACTTCTACACACAACGGAGGATCTTTAACACAAATGCAAGCATATTGGGTGTGGTGAAGTATTGGTCATGGGTGTGGCCCCTCGAACTTGCCTACAGCACAGCCCACTTTCCCAACTTTTTAGGTTTGTGACCCTGATTTCTACCATCATTACACCCTTAGTAAATTTGCATTTTTCTTAGATTTGTCCCTCATTCTTCTCCTTTATACTGTCTTCTTCCTTTCTGACTTTGAGATCTAGTCTACTGGGAGCGAACTTTCAGCTAGCTTGAAGCGATCAATTGGCTATATGCAATTAAATCTGAAAAGTACATAAGTCGTTCATCCTTAATTAATATGTCCTTTGCGTCGTAACAGTTCCTTTTAGATAATTAACTATTGTGGAATTGCACCTTCTAGCCCAGTTGAAGACAAAACATTTTAATCCCCTTTTTGTAAGAGCATTGACCCCAGGGTGGAGTCCCTTGCGTCCCAATATCAAGCTTGAAAAAAGATGTAGAGCAATCGTTTATTCTTCGCTTGACATAACAAGAACGTATAATTGAGAAACACGAGTAAAAGACTTCTGCATCAAGATTAATAAAAGGTTGTTGCAAAAGTTTTTTAATTATGAAGCCAACAGTGCTTCAATCCCAACCCCGATTTATGTAAAACTTTGGCAAATGGGTAGAGAGTACCTCGATTACTTATTCTCTGCATTCTCTTACAAACATAGACGTATTGGGAGGCTTGCCCGCCAAACTAGAATGTTTTGCTCATCTGTACCCGTCCAAAAATTTTAGGACGAAAACATGCTTTTGTCTAAACATTTAGTAAACGCTGTCTTTCTATATTACTGTCGAAAAAGGTCGGTTTCAACAAAGTCTGTGCATCTGTGCATTCAATATCGACTGTGCACCAGTCTCTTCAATGCTATACCGAGTCGATCATACTGCTGATACGCTTCAGTCTGCGTCAGTGGCGGATTTAAGGGGGGGCAACTAGGGGCAGTTGCCCCTCCCTCGAAAATTTGAAGCAAGTATGGCGCCCCTTTTTGGAAATTGTGCACCCCTTTTGAAGAATGAGAATCAGGTGAAAAAGTTTCTGAGACCGATAGGTTAATTTGCTTCAAGGATTACTTAAAAGTTATGTTGTTTATTCCGAAAATGGATCTGAAATTGTTGTATACAGCGTTCTCTCGTCATCAATTTTTGAAATTTTTTTCAGCGCCCCCACTACCAACTGCCCCTCCTTAAAGTTTGCTCTGGATCCGCCCCTGGTCTGCGTTGAATGCTTGTTTTCAGCACTGAGCAAGATAGATGCACCAAACGAAAACGCCAAACCGCAAAACGAGGCCTCAAACTTCCTTCATATACAGGGCCTTTTTTAACATACTTACTAGGGGGGCGAGGGGGGGGGGGAGCAATTGCCTTTGAAAATTGAAAATTCTCTTTCAAGTAGACGAAATGATAAGGCTCTGTTGCATCTAATATTATGGCTTAGTTCTCTTCCACAGGTAATTTTTGTATTTATTCTTTAAAAAAGTAATAGAAAACAAGACTTGCGGAAGATTACAAAGACTACACAAATTTCCTTACACTGCAAACAATCTTTATCCGGTGCAAGGTAATAAATCTGTATCGATTGCAAGATGTTAAATTTTTGAGGGTTCTTCAATACCATCACTTACGTTCTTGCCTTCAAATAACTAGCAGCGTGTTCCTTCGTTTCGCTCAGTTGACAAGCCGACCTAAACTTTAAATGTATGAATAGCCATGATAGCAGGCTGCTCGACGGACTCCGATGAAGTTCTTGCGGCGAACAATCGATAAAATGTAATAAATAAATAACACCGCAACGCGACGAGAATGAACAACAACAAACACACGTAAATCAGCTATGGATAAAATTTCGCCCCGGCATACGTGGCTTCATCGGATCAAAAAAGACTTTTTAAACTTTAACTCGGCATTGCCCGAAAGGGGCGTCGCTAAAGGAGGGCGCTTGCTCCCCATTCCTTGTCCGTCGGCACCATCGAGTTAAGAACGCGTTCTTACTCTATGGTCGGCACATAAATTACTTATTTTATGACCACACCCAAAAGAGTGAGACCCACCCTTTTTGTTGGCAAAAAGCAATAATATCCCTCCAAAAAAACTGTTGGCTTTGCCCTTGTTACCCGCCCACCTTTTCAGTGCTGGCTTCGTGCCTGGCCTGAAGTTTGTTTTCCTGTTTGGAGGGAGGGAAGCTGCTGCCCCTATGTCAGTGGTGACTCTGTGTCTCCAACACCTGCAGTATTGTCAAAATCAAAACCAAATTGTGTATGGGGGCTATTTGTCAATCTTGGGAGCCAAGCCCCTCGTGCCCATCCTCATCAGTTTCCGCCCCCCCCCACCCTTAAAATTCCTTCCTGTGCCCCTGAATAAGTTACAACTCCTAACAGAAGCAACCCTTTTTAAAACACTCAAAATGATAAAATTTTAGAGAATCACCGGCCACTTGGATTAAAGATTATTTTGCGCAAGACATGAAAAAGCCTGTGGGCTCCCTAATGAATGAATGATAACTTCCTTCTTCGGTTAATATCGTTTCAGTTTCTGGCAAACTACAGATAACACTAAATGGATTTCGTTGTCTGTCATATAACTTTGTATCATATAAATTCTCACTCAGTCTATTCGAAGTTCAAGAAGCGTTAGTTCGTGCTGATGAAATTTGGATAGAAATCTGTTTATAAAACAAGACAAAGTTTGCCGGGGGTTAAGATACCTCTGTTCTTCTGTAAACAAGTTGCGGTTGGCAGTGAACTTTGACGTAGGTAGACAGGGATAACCTTGGACAGTTTTATGACCGCCTTCCTGCGATTGCCGGTAGGAAGAGCAGTTTCTGGATCGAATTCTAAAGCATTACAAATCAAGTCTGGCATAGAAATATTATTTCTTGAAAGTGCCAGTCTTCGGTCGGCATCCCAGAAGCATTACGAAAGAGGGCCTATCGGGCGCCGTCATTCGGCTGACAAGTCGGGACCGAGGATGGTTTCCCATGCATCGTTCATAAACAAATTACAAAATCCACGTAAGTAGGCGTTTAAAGTTCTAAAACAGCTTGTCATGTCACGACTCTAACCTTTCCAGATGTCAGTGATTACAACTTAGCTCTTCGCAGCTTTCCCTGTCTAGAATGCGGAACTGCTGGTGTTTACAACACTTCCAAATTAAACAATTTCCTAATAAAAAACATTCTCGAAGCGGAAATACCACAAGGGTAATTAGTATGTCTGCTGTTTAACATCCATTCAACAAGTAGAATTTAGGTTTCCCACTAGTTGGCTTTGTTTTTTAAGAAGTGTTTTATCGCTAAGAAGATTTGAAGAATCGTGTTTTCTTTAATTAACACTACATTTTGACCCCGACCGTCAAAATTACTCTGTTTGTACTTTGGGTATACGTGACATGACATGTCCGTTCACTATTACATTACCAATGAAAGAACATGGTTTTGATAAGTGTATAATGTTACACACTTTTGAATGACTTTGGTATGCAGAGGTTTTTCGACCTCAGCTAAACACTTGACGACAAATTTCATTTGAGAGGAAATCTTTGTTAGATTTTGCACGTAACCTAGGTTAATTTTTTATATTAAATTACTACTTGCTATCAACGCTCATATCGCAATAATAAGAAATTGTTTTATATCGATATGATTTTCATTAAACTCTAGAATCCAGGGCCTCCGACGAAAGGGGGGGGGGTGGTGCGGCGGGGACCATGTCCCCCACAGTCTTTTGCAAAACAACAGAGCTTTTTCAAAATCTTTTGTTATGATTGTTGAATTTTCCCTTGCCCCCCACTTGCCAACCCGCGTCGGAGCCCATGGAATCAAAACGCCATCTTTGGCGAAATTATGTGTGGCAATGTATTTTTGACAAATATCCATCCAGAGGTAATTTTCAGGCCATGAATCTCCATTATTCATGCGAAATGAGTAAATGTTTGCCTGAAAAATGTTTCAGAGGAAATGTTTTCATGATGATTTTATAGTAATAACTTGGTCAATTAAATGTTTACTTTTTATGACAAATTTGGATTATATCAGGGAAATGATATAATAAGGGCAGATATTCTAATGTTCTTTATGATTTTAGGGCACATTAACATTTCGTCACTTTTAAGACAGTTGTAAATGGTTTCATTAAGGATTGATATGGTAAAAATTAATTAATATTAGGTTATAAAAACAAATTTGAAGTCAGACAATATTTTGTTTATACTAGATCTATTAATTGATTCCATTAAAGTTATTTAACAAGAAGGGCAGAATGTCTCCTTAGAAATACTCTCAAACATCATCTTACACTAGGAAATGTTTTAGAAATTTTAAATTATGCTTAGGAATAAATTTTCTTTTTGTTTATTTGCCTAGAACAGATTATTGCCAAGGCGCTGTTATTGCATACGTCTGTTAACTGATCCTAGCAGCTTGTCACTAAATTTGCTGCTGTATCATCAAAATGTTTACACTTGACAGTGTCAATGCAATGATTATATTAAATTTTGGTAAACAAATTCTTTCTGAACATTAAATTTTCTATACAAAAAATGTTTTTTCACTCAAATTTTCTTTTTGCAAAAAACTAGATGTTGCTTGTAATAAAAAGTGTAAAAGAGGCCTGCCTGGGGGGGGGGGGCATACTCATACTTTACCAGATGGGATGTGCCACGGGACAGGGTACCCTTTTTGGAAAAAATATTGGAACTGGTATCATGAATTGCATCAGAATCCTGGGACAGGGTATCAATAGTAAAAAGCTCTATAAAGAAGAACAGCTTACTCTGTTTCTAGAGTTTTCTTAGAATAAGCATGTTTCAGTTCCATTTGCTAGTGGTAAAATATCATGAGATCTGGTATATTTTGGCATAATTGTGTCAGGGTATGCCTTTGCTTTTTTTCCCTAGGACAGGATCAGGTTGCAAAAAGTAACTATCACTTCCTGACGGGGGTCCTGAAAGTTTTTTGCTGTCAACTCTTCTATTTGTCATTCCTCTGATGTCATCCCAAATGTCAGTTTTTATGAGAGACAGGGACAGAATGTTCTTTTGGAGGCTTGTACCCCTCAAAAATCCTTTTTGTTCCTTTTGTTCTTTATCAATGGTGCCTCACCAATGATAATCAATGACAATCAATGGTTCTACAACAACATCATGCAACAACATGAAATTAATTTTTTGATCATCTGTAGAAATTCGAGGGAGTTTATTGGTGGTTGATTCAATATAAATTTCCCAACTAAAGATTTTTATGCTCTCAAGATGTGTATGCTGGTTACCTCTCCTCAAATTGCGCAAACCTCATTGACCAAAGCAAAGCCTCATACCCCAGCAGGTGATCCGATGCCAACAGATGCAGGTGATCCGATGCAGGTGATCCGTTTGTTGATATATTGAAGCAAAACAATATATATCAGTCCTTTTCGTGAGCAAAATTACGCGTGTGTGGCAAATCGCACATGTAAACAAATTTGCGCGTGCGATCGCACTTGTAAGAAAATTTGAAGTACAAACCTGATAAAATTGGTAAAAGGAGCAAGAAGGAAAAAGCCACTCGAATACGTGCAAGAGCAAAACTCAAAATTAATCAATACATAACAGATGTTGTTGCCCTTAGCAGCCATCTTTTAAAAGTCGTCGTCACTCTCCAAAGTTACAAGAGCAAGTAAAAATTGTTTCCAACAGCTACTTGCTTTCAGGGCCTAATTACGTTTTGACAGGAAATCAGTTATTACACTTAACATGCTAATGGCGACTTAGCTGAAAGACGAGACGCTAAGTTGAATGGAGCACTCAGTCAAAAGCCAAACATCACTTCCGAAAATTGGAAAAATCATATTGTGGTCAAAAGTGCGAATCAAGTAACAAGGGAAAGGATAAACAATCATGAGACCATGGGAAATTGATGTTAAAGGGCCTCTCCAGCAAAAAAAAATTTTTTTTAATGACTTAAAAGTTAGCATCTGGTGCGTGTATTATGACAAAGTCATTGTTTTTGAAAAAATTCCAATTAGTTTAGAAGTTGTAAGACTTTACAGTTGCACCTTTCCGAGAAAAAAACGACAAAAGCCGAATCAGTTTGATGACATTCTGACGTCACAATGTGCGGCTCTCGTTCGCCATGAATTTCGTATATCTTCCACCGAAGCGTGAAGGACTCATGGTCACGCGTTGATAACTGCATCCAGTTCCAGTTCCTGTTCCAGCTCTTCCCTCGTGTATAATTAATCGAAATTATCACTTCAGTTGTTCTCCAGAAACGGTGAACAACTAAAGGCTTCAGAATTGGTGTCTGAAATGCTCAAACTAAAAGCTGGTGGAACAGAACTGAGAGTACCATCACTTGCAGTGTTCAATTTGCGAATCGCTGTCGTTCGATTCGGTTTGAGGCGAGACTATCCGAAATACACTGTGACGTCAAAATTGCGTCACAGTGTCACCAAACCAAAAATTTTTGTCGGTTAATTCAATTAAATTATCGAAATGCAAGAGCTTATATCTCACAAACTGTAAAAAAATATCGAAAAACAAATAACGAATTCGTGATCAGCAGGCTCAACTTCTTTATAAAAATTGCCAATAAAATGCAAGTGCAAAATTTGGCTGGAGAGGCCCTTTAACAGAAAACTGCAAAAACACCTGTTTGCGCGTGTGGTCAAAAGCACGCGCAATTTAACTTGCGCGTGTGCAGGCGTGTGCGGGTGCGATCGCACGCGCTAAACGAAAAGGACTGATATATATACTATAGGTGTAAATTTTTCAGACCATAAAAAAGGACATTCTACTATCTGTCCTTCAGTGATTTTTGTAACTTATCGCATGATAAATGAAAACCCTGAAAATTTCAGAACATTTAATTTGATATGTATGCATCAACAAATGGTTCCTTCTGGGTTCTTGATTTTTTTGAAAGGGTTATTAAATGTCAGTTTGTATTGCCATCATTGGAAAATTTAATGGGTCATTTTTCACAAAAGTGTAAATTATCATTGAGGTTTGTCAAGGCAAGGGTTTTCCGACAAATATGCGCAGAATAACGTAATAATGGAAACTTCAGTATACAAATTGCGTTTTTGTTATATGTAGAAAGAAGGACAAGATCAAAGAGACTTTTTGATCGTTTTGGTATCATTTAGTTCGCTAAAATATTTTCTTTAGCAGCAAATAACTTCTTTAAAAGTTTTTTCGAGAATTTTCATAGTAAGTATAGGTTGGTTAAGAAAAATAAGTATGGATGACAGGCACCGCGCACCATTCTAAAAGTGGGTGGACTGAAAAGGGTACGCCCTTTAGAACGCTGAGAAGAGCCCCTTTTAGAAAATACTTGCTTCTTTTCACTTATTTTTATAAACAGTCAGATTCAGAGAAGATATCAATAACTATATAGATAGCTTTAACAAGATAGAATACCAAGAAAATGAACAAAAAGGGTTCCCAGTCAAGACGAACTGCTGCTACTACTTAGGATCCGTTTGAGTAAACTTTCCAAAGTTGCGTTAGAGTAAACTTTATACAAATTTTCTAACCTATTATTGCAAATAAGTGGGGGGGGGGGGGGCTATAGCCCCTTCCCTTCTTGCCCAATGGCTGCGCGGTGCCTGATGGCTGAAATAACGAGATACCTTTATAGAGACGAACTCTAGCATTAACATTATTATTTTCTTCGACAACTACTAAATAAATAGGGTCTAATCGCCTAGGCAGAAGCCGGCCACTCCCGCTTCCCGAATAATACCTTGCCTTATAAGGGCCCCGTACAGTCGGCAATTATCGCTGGTATTTTGAAGAGTCAAAGGCTTGCGTTGATCTTATGTAGCTAGCCCCGTGGAGCCATGCCTGAAGCGACGCCCGGATACGGTTTCTATCATTCTCCGCGAGAGGTTAGGATTTCTTTGCATCAGGATGCGACTACACGATATTTTTTGGATATTTCGCATAACGGAATAAAAACAGACAAAGGTGTATTCAGCTTCTAGAACGATGCTTCCGGAATAGGGCCTAAAATAAGAAATTTTACAGATCCAC